TGCTCAATGTGTCTGTAAAACGAAAGAAAGGATAAGGAGTTGAGGAAGTGATATAGGAATTTCTTTGATAGCCATGTTTTGTTTTCCTCTTGTACCCACCATGATATATATCCCTAGTTAACCCCTTCGAGCCTTTGAATTGTTCTTTGGTAGCCTAATATGAAGCTTATTCCCGTTCATTCTATGGCCTTTAAATTTGATCCATAGCTCCTAAGCGCTTTAGGCGGACAATAGTGAATGAAAATAAAGAGCAAGTATGAAGCCCCTGGGTATGATTCACTGAAAAAGTTATGGCTCATTGGAAAGGGAGTGAAAAAAATGAATAAATTGTTAATGCCCTACAACAAAGTGTCGAGGAGCTTAAAGTAAAGGGGAAAATTAAAAAAATGAGGTTGTTAAAAGAAGGTTCAAAAATGAATATTGTCATGTATTAAAGCGCTTGGGAATGTAGTCATTGTTCATAGCCATCTACTCGTCCCCTAGCCTACATTACAACCCTTGAAGACCTAGTTGATCCTGAACTTCCGTATTCTTGTAAGTAGTGGCGCAGTACACCAAGGGCACGCCTATGGTTCATTGTTGGTAGCATGAGAATTCTTTTGGGAGAGTGAGTGGAATTTGATCCTTACACCCACTATTGTTTGAATTTCTATATGTGTGAGTAGTGCAGGGTGTCTCTTGTGGTAAGGGCACATGTTCAATGAGGAACTGGTAGCTTATGTAACTTTGTGAGCAATGATTATGCATGAGTTTACTACGTTTTAGAGTCAATTATTGAGGCTAGAAGGTTTTGCACGAGTCATCCTTGTGAATGCATAGTAATGACATGCTTGTTGTGAAGTTCGTGTGGTTGTTGTGGCCGAAACTTGAATGCCTTTAGTTTGAAGTGTAGTAGAGTCGTCGTATGCATGAAAGTATGGAATTGTTCGAGGACGAACAAAGCTTTTAAGTGTGGAGTGGTGATCTTAGGCGTAATTATGCGCCTAATAACCAATTTATCCCATATATATAGCCAAGTTCGAGAGAAAATTCCTAGTTTGAATTGCAATTTTAGAGTCAATTGATTGTATTTCCTCTAACCAATATGATTAGGTGTTTGTAGGGTGAAAACCAAGGAAAAGGAGCGAAAAAGAAAACCATCCAAGAAAAGGAAAATAGAAGTCGAAGTTTCTAAGGAGAAATGGCCAAGAAGCTGGAAAATGCACTGTATGGGAGCATCTCCGCATCGCGGAGCTGAAAGAGAATTGTTGCAAACGAATTACACAAAACAGTGGAGTGTACGATAGAGGTGTGTCGTGGAGAAGGATTAAACTTCTCAAAATGTGAAGCGAGGGAACAAGTTCGCGTCGCGGACCTGAACTCCGAAATTGGGCCACATGTTTTATTCCACCCTATAAATAGTCCAACTGTGTTATTTTATTAATTATTCAGTTTTTGAAAAACGAGGAGAACACGATTTGGGCGATTTTGCTGACGAACTCTAGGTCTTTTCTTCTACTCTTTCATTTTGGTAAACACTTTAATGATCTTTGAACATTATTTGATGATGATTCATACTATGAGTAGCTAAATTCCCTAATTCTAGGATTGTAGCTACGATTGATGGTGTAATATTGTTTATTTCTAGCATGAGACGGGTTTTCTTAGGATTTATGCTTACATTCTAGTTTTTACTATTTTGATGCCTAACCAATATTAAAATAAACTCTTTGTCCACTTTTGAACTTGGAAGACGAATATAGGGATAGACCAAGGAATGTGAGGAACATGCTCAATCTAGGGTAAAAACTTAGAGTGTTTCGCCTATATATACTTATATGCCTCGTTTGGTTAATATACAAGACGATAGCGTAATGCTCCACGATTGGTTCATACCTATCCCCGCTCAACGATGTAGTTAGGTTGTCAATGGTGGTAGGCGATTAGAGGTCAGGAGACCATGATCATAAATTCAACCTTGTGAATCAATAATGAGGATAACATGTGGATTGTTAGAATACTCTTCATTATGCTTGAAATCAATGCGCTACAACCCTAGACTTCTTCCAAATTGTGAAATTCCTGTTTGCAACTAATTTAATTGTTTAGTAGTTAACAATTGAGATTGTTTTAATATTGATACTATAAACAAATTCCTGAAACTTTCTGTCACATAAGTAAATTTATTTTAGTTACAACAAAGTTAGTGTTTGTCCATTTGAAGTCCTTTGGGTTAGATAATCCAGCTCAAAAGAGTCACTGTATTACTTGAGCGACCACGTACACTTGCGTGTGCATCTGGGAGCAACACTTACTCAAGAAGAGTCAAGGCTTAAGAAACAAAGAGGTCATTGCATTAACCTCATGGGTCAATGAGCTGGTAAAGGACTCAAATTTAAGGCCAACAAGTTTTGAAAGAAGAAAGCACATGCTAAAGTTCCACAAGATGCTCATAAGGAACTCAAGGCAAATGTGTGTCGTTTTGTAGAAAGGAAGGAAACTATAAAATTGAGCCCATCATTTGCATTGAGAGTGGGATCTTGGGTCTCCCCAGACTCCACATTACCTTTAAGGTTGGCCAATTAGTCATGCTCAAGTTGCTTGGCCTTGATTTTATCTATGAAGGTGGGCTGAACATCAATATTGGCTAACATTGCACCCTTCTCAGAGATTTCCAACCGCATGAACTTACCTCGAAACAAGCCTCCTAAAAACTCTAAATAATCTGAATTTTCCCCTAGCGAAGTGATTCAGCTTGTTGTTGGTCTAAAACAACAATATAAGCAATAATCAATCATTGATGTCCTATTAATTTACTTGGATTATTAACAAATCCTAACCCTAAGCCAAAATATGATCTATCTTACCCATATTAGGGGTTTTTTCCACCATGGAATCATGTCCAAACCCTTCTCTCAATAGTAATAACCTAGATTCTAAGGCTTAAGAATCAATGCATAAGGTTGGGGAGTTGACTTCTTACCTTTATCGATGAATTCCATAGGAAAACAGGTGCAAACTACCCAAAATATCGCCCTTCCCAAGTCAAAGAACTCAAAGTGCAGAAAATAGGGGTTTTGGGGTTATTTTTGCACTAAGACCCATTATAGTAGTGCCGCTATAGCATAAGCTAACCCACTATAGTAGTTTGCACACTCTGCTATAGCGGTATGACTCGTGCTATAGCGACCTCGATGAAACTTTAGAAACTCAAACTCCAGAAAAAGCCATTTTTACAACATAAACTCTTTCCTTATCATTCTGACACATACCCTTCACGCAAAGATCAATTTCGGGAGTTATAATACTTATCTGAATTGTATTCCGAAAGGCCTTAGTGACTTGGCTACAAGAATATATCAACCAAACCTCAATATCACACCCCACTCATTCTCGGATGGACCTAGACCTCACCTAGCCCAGATTCCGTCAGAGGCTGGCCTGGTCGATTTTTTTTAAGTCACTATCCGAAAAGTTTTTTGGCCCAAATTCTTTCGCTATCAGCTTACTCATAACGACCGGGTCAAGTCATTACAATAGACACACTTTAAGGCTTGAGAAATCCAAAGTGAAATGTGTTAGTATGTTGAGAAATTGCAAATTCTGCTTGAATCAATGCTATCCATGGCAATTTCAGGTGTTAAGCAAATCCTCTGACCCAATTGCATACCATTGACCCATACTGTCACATCCCTAGGTTCTCGTTATTGCCATTTAAATTTCCATGTATTGCAAACAAATAATGAACTATACACGAAAATTAGATAGAAGTCACATTTATTCCCATGAAATCCGACTCCAACTCTTAAGTTAGGCTAAAAATATTACATCCGATCCCTACACATCAATTTTCGAAGTGTCGTTGAGTGTTATCATGAAGTATGTAGCAACAGTAAATGAGAAAACCCCATCGAGATCTGATGATGGTGTGGAGTTTTATTTATATTGGTAGGTAAATACATGTCTATAATTACCTTTTCTATATTATGATATCTATGTTGCTCGAAGTTTTAAAAGATATCATCATGTGTTGTATCCCTTAAAATCTATGCATTTTTTAGATCCGTCACATGACCGCGACATCATTTTTATAAGATGCGAGCAATATATTCTATGATACAAGTTCTACGTGTGGAGTTACTCCTTTATTAGGTTATCTACAGCGCCCCATGAAGAAATCTATAAATACAATGATAATAGAAAATATATTTAACTGTGAAGCCAACTGGTAAATTTGAAAACTCAACAAGAAGTTATTGTTCATAAGCAAAAAATATATATAATTTAGTTGTGTTTAATCAATTAAAAGTTATTTTACGGTGTGGGCGAAATTGATAATTTGTCTTTAACTGATTTTATGGAAAAGTGTTGTACCGTAGATACTAGGGTTCTTGTTATTGTTAAATAAAATAAATTAAAAGAGGAGCTTTGATCATTTTTCTTTTTTAATTGTTATCATTATATTTCAATTTCTTTTAATCTGAAAATGTTATTTTTGTTGATTTTGATTTTCGTTCTACTAATAAATTTTCTATCATTTTTTGATGATTCTTTGGTACTGATTTAAAATTCAGTTTTTGTTCTTAAATTTTGGTGATACAAATTGAGGTAGAGTATAATATAATAAATGGATTTTTCTACTAAATAAGAAAATATAAAAAAAATAAAAATAGAAGAGTAGCATCTCATTGAATGTGCAATAGAAATGAAACAAAATTGCTATTAGAAAATATATTTTAGCTAATTGATAAAAAAAAATGTATTATTCCTCATTCAATAGATACTCCCTCTGTCCCAATTTATATGACCCACTTTCCTTTTTAGTCAGTCCCAAAAAGAATGACACATTTCTATATAAAGTAACAATCTAACTATAAAATATTTATTTTACCCTTAATGAAATGATTTACAGTCCCGTAAATTTCTATAATTCATTTTGGACCACAAGTTTTAAAAGTCTTCCTTTCCTTTTTAAACTCTGTGCCGAGTCAAAGTACCTCATATAAAATGGGACGGAGGGAGTATTAAATTAACTATGCTTTATTTTCTTTTATCTTTTGAAAACAATCTTTATAGTGACACAATAAAATTCTCTGCGTCTATATATGTTTAAAACGCATGTACACACTGCAGTATTATTTTACATGTAACTAATATATAGTGAGATGAGATATATGCCTTAGGCATTGAAAGATAAATAAATATTTAAAAGGAAGTATAGATTTGCATCTGACTCAAAATGTGCTCAAAGTTATCGGTAGATTTGTCGATGGGATGTGAATGCATGCCTTCATAAGTAGTTACTACTACTTGTTCATCCTTGGATAATCTTTGTACTTGTTTCTTCACGTTACATCCTTGATGTGTGCATCGATAATAGCTCCTGTTGAGTACCACAACAACCAAATATGTATTAGATTTCTTCTTCGTTTTTGTATAATTAATTTCACCTAATATTTTCCCATGTCTAAACCACTAGCCCTACCCAAATAATAGTAGCCATTTGAAATAGGAAAATATATCACTCATTTTTTTCGTTTTTGTAAGGACTATAGCCAGATTAATTTTATTGATTAGAGAGTACTCCTGCAGATCATAGTTGTAGACTTGTAGTATGTGGTGATAAATATAGATTCCAATTTACTAGTCCATTTCCTACAACTTTTGATCATTTCAATTTCATGTTTTCACTTCAAAAGTTCTAGTATATATCCATACCTTTTTTTTTATAGATAATAAATCAAAATCCTGATGAAACTCCCACTATTTTCCTATTGAAATTCACCACGGAACAATGTTCACTGACAGTCTTCCATAGTTATTTTAATTGAATTGGTGAGAAAAGAAAAACATAGTACCCTCTCTGTTCTAATTTATGTGACACGTTTTGGATTTAGAAATTTAAACAAGTTTATCTTTGACCATAAATTTTTCATATATCGTTTAAATATTTTGAATTATCAATTATTGTGACCTATAATTCTTTTTACGTACTTTACAAATATATCAATTTCATTTTAAAAAATTTAAAGATTTCATGAGCAAATTCTCGGTCAAACTTAAATTGTTTGGCTCTCAAAAAAATGAAATGTGTCACATAAATTGGGACGGGGGAAAAGTGTTTTCACACAGGAAAATTAGAAAGCTTAATTCCTAGTATTTCAATAAGAATTGTTTCCCATCATCAGTTTTCCCAGCGAGCTGGTTCGATGGAACAGAGATGGAAAACTTTTGTAACACAAATTTTATATAATTCGAAGTGGAAAAAACATTTGTTTCTAACCGTGTCATCGATTTTTAGGGATCCTTACCTCTCTTATTTGTCATCAAAGGGCTAAATATAAGTTTCTTTGCACTTTGATTTTGTTTTACAACATTTATTATCTAGCATAAACCAAGTAATAATCTAAAGTATAGAACGAAGTAGATCTAAGGCAAGTTCTATTGCTTTTGGGTCAAACTATACATACGAATGAAAATATATGCATATAATGAGATCTTACTTATTTTTAACTATAAAAATTCAAAATTTTGATTCACCCTTTGCATGTGAACTCTAATATATTAGAGTAGTTGGACAATTATTGCTCGAATCATCCGTCAAACGTAGCATAGATCACTTTTGAGGCTAGATTAACATAGTTCTTAAGATCCCTTTGAAAATGATCAATGACTTTTTTTAAAAAAGAAAATAGTCCCAAACATTAACTGGAAATGTATCTTGACTTGGATTAGATCGTAGAAGAAAAGTATTGAAAACATCCATAAATTCGGCGTAAATTATTAGTTTCATCCCTAAATTATTTATAGCCTTAAAAACACCCCTAAACTCGGCACAAATTATTAGTTTCATCCCTAAATTAGTAACAGTCTTAAAAACACCTTTTTGCTTGACTAACTGAATTAATTAAATACACCCTCGATATATCTTGCAACATGAATGAAATACACCCCTAAATTCTTATCAAATTTAAAGGTATTTTCAACCTTTCTATCGGCTATTTATTAAGGGTCCATGTTCCTACAAGAGTTTGAGATCACTTTTCATGTCATGTGGCAGTCGGGGTGTATCTAAGTTTAGTTAGTCAAGTAGAAGAGTATCAATAGTTGAGAAATGAAACTAATAATTTACGTCAAATTGTGTATTTTCAATACTTCTCTCTTCTTTATTTGGCCTAAAAATAGTAAAGTTACTTGGGAATTTAATTAAAGTGTATAGAGGTAGATGGATGGAATTGAGATAATAACTAACCTTGGGAATTTGTTGTTTTTGACAGCCTTTTGTCCATATTTCCTCCATCTATAACCATCATCAAGAATATCAACTTGGCTCCTTGTTTGGAAAGCATATCTTGGTTTCTTAATTTTCTTCTTACACGATTTGATCACCTCATCCTTCTTAGTAATAATATCTCTTGGAGTTTCCATGCTTGCCATTAGTCCCAAGAACCCGGCCTTATTCTTCCCTTGGAATAATAATTCCTCTTTTGCATCGTCACTGATACTACTCTTGCTATTCATTAATGAAATATATTCATCATGATGAGATGACGACGATGATGCTGATGGAAATATTGTTGCATAATTCTCCATTTTTGAGAGTAAATTATATGAGAGCTATTTCTGAGAATGTAAAAGTGGAGACGTGTTGAGAAAAAATAGCAATGGAAAAATGTGGTTTTGAATGGTGAATTTATCATTAAGAGTTGGACTAGTGTGGCGGCTACCCTGTTCAATATTATTCTATTTTTAATAAAGTCGTAAACGACACGTAAAACTTAAATCATCATAATTATATAATACTAGTAGAAGAATTTAAGTTAACTTCTCTAAATATATTATATTATAATTATATATACGAAATCAAATCTGTTAAGAACAGTTATTTGTTATTGCATGTTAATTTAACCTCATGTGCAAGAAAATATACTAAACTAATAATAAGGCATGAAGTTAATTTTTCCTGCCAAGTTAAAATTCACGCTGATAATTTATTTTATACTGATTAATGGAGGTGTTCACGGGCGGTTTGAATTGGTAATCATAATCAAATCAATTTAATTAATTTTAAAATTATTAAAATCAAACCAAATATTAATATAATATATATTTTTAGTTGATTGTTATTGAGTTTGGTTCGATTGTTCGACTATTAATTATGTAAAAAAAAAATTATAAAAACAAGGTGAGTAAATAGAAAAATATATTTAGTTCCAAAAGAGACACCTATCAATATTATCTGTCATAATATATTTTATCTTTGAAGTTGAGTTTTTACTGCGAATGAAGAAAATGAAATCAAAATTGGAAGAGCCAGCAACTGAATTATTCTCCCAAGTTGATTCCACTGAACTCCATTAAATTATAAATAAATTTTAATGATAATATATACAAGATATATAAAATTGTTCATAAAAATAATATATTATCTATATAACTATAATAAAAATTATGTATATATTTGTTGGTTAAATTAGATTATTTTTCAATTCTTTTTAAAGAAAATCGAATCAAATCAAATATTATCGATTATTATAAATGTAAAACAAAAAAACAAAATCCAAATTTAACTTATATAATCAATTTGGATCAATTTTTATTCAAATCATATACACGCCTACTGATTATGAATGCAAGTTAAAATTCGTGGCTATAGAGGGCCCTAGTCCACCACTAGTATTCCCACAACGTTCCTTCAAAAAAATCATCTTCAAGTGTCGATCATAGATTTACTTTATTACATCTAAATATATTATTTGTAGTAAAAAATTTAATAATGTGACTAATAGAACTAGAACCGTAGAACACATGACTCCAAGGAATTTGCACAACACCTTAATTACTATACTAAATTTTTAATTTATTAAGAGGTATATATATATATAGTGCATGGGGTAATAGGTCCTGCTCAAAAGTTGAGATTGTTACAGCAATTTAAATCATAGTTCAAACATATTTCAAGCATTTCTTTTTTTTGTTTATCATCAAAACGGGTAAATAACATGATAAAATCGTAATCATGCGTGTTCCACTTGGTCATTAGACGATGAATTTGGCTCTTATCTTTTAAGATAAGATATGATTAGAAATATTATTGTATAAGGAAAAAAAATAACAAAATGAATTAGGTACTCTTAATTTTTAAATTTAGTTTAAGGACAGAGAGGCTTATAAATACATCTATTAAGTACTAGTAGCGAATTATAAATTGCTGAATATGGTTTGCAAGCAATGGGAAAAAGGTGTGAAATATATCCAAACTTTGACCAAAATTGTTGTAACAATACCGAATTTTGGAAAGGATATTTTACCCCCTGCACTATTTAATAGTGTATTTTAAAGGTATATATGTGTCCACGTGGACATTATAAATATTGCATCATTATAAATAATAATATGTCCATGTGGGTACATATATACCTTTAAAATACACTATTAAATAGTGCAGGGGTAAAAGGTCCTCCCTAAAGTTTGGTATCGTAACAACAATTGCGGCCAAAGTTGGAGTATTTTTCAGACCTTTTTCCCTAATTTCTCTATTCTATATTAGTTGATCATTTTTTATTTTACATGATATTTAAGTAATTATCAATAAAAAGATAATTTGAGTAATTTATTACTTAGTTTATTTTTAATGAATAATTAATATGATACAGCTATTTTTATTATAATGATGAATTAATATAAACAAACCAAGTATATTAATTATTCACGTGTATGATAGGAAAAAATAAAGATTTAGGACATCTCTTTAGGAGCGGACGGCTATATTCCTTTTCTTTTTCCGGTCAAACCACGTGCTATCGAGCTTTTAAAAACTACTTTAAATTTTAGACTAAAGTTTTATACTCGTTATGTCCCTAATTACTTGTCCACTTTTAAATTGACACACCTATTAAGAAATTAATTATTGACATAGTGAGTCTACCATTTTACCCCTATTAATAATTATGAATTGGATGAATTAAAAATTTTACATTTTCAAAAAGTTCTACCTTTTTCAAAGTAATTAATTAAGGATATAATAGGTAAAAAAAATTGTCCTTATTTAATTTGTCAAAATTGACAAGTAATTAGAAATAACTATAAAAAGAAAAATGAACAAGTAATTAAGGACAGAGGGAGTAAAGTTTAGCCAACCAAAAAAGGAAAATAGAAGAGTGATAGTAAAGAAATTTCAACAAATCTTGTAGAACTTTCTGAGTGCAAGTGAATAGAAATTGGGAATTTTTTAAGTATTAAAATTTTACGATAGAGATGGCTATACACGAATTATTAAAAAAAAAAAAAAATTATTTTTTATTTTATATTATTTGATTCATGTTGATTTATTATATTTTTAGAAAAACTTAAGTAGATGTGTATTTTACTGAACTAACTTAATAAATGATGCTTTAAAACTCTAAATTTAACTTTTATTATTTTATGTAGTTATGTAATACTAAAAATAAAAAAAATAGAATAAAATTTAAATTGAACAAGTGTTACTATTATACTATATAAGAAATGTCAATAAGTTGCTCTCTCTCAACGTGTCTGCTTATTGACGGAGGGTAGTTTTATAATTTTATTTATCAATTTATTTTACAGAGCTGCTTCATAAAATACTGTCTATTTTATCTTCTATTTATTATACATTTAGTAAATAATTTGTGGATTAAATAATTAATTTTGAGGGTAAAATATTTAAAAAAATCTCTTTGATATGTTAAAAACATAATTTTTTTAGAATAATAAACAAATAAAAATGAATGAAAGAAATATTCAGTGCTATTTCACAACTTTCTACTATTTTTTTCAATGGTGCAATTTGTAACCCAGAGATGCTAAGGACAAAAGAAATTGTTGTACTTTTTGTTGACATGAAAAAAAAAAAAACAAAAAGTTGCTTATCACTTTTAAATTATCCGTATTGTTTTAAAATTACGATTCACATCTTTTCAGGATAAATTTTATTTTATTTGAAAATTAATTTTTCGTTGTGAAAATTCAAAATTTAATTTGAAGTTTTGTTTCAAATTTGGAAAATAGCTTAAGCATGTTTTTGAATTTGCTTTTAAAATAGTAGTATATTTAAATATAAAGATTATTTCACATATTATAAAAAAATTATAATATGACCAATTTATATTATGAAAATTTTACACAAATCTCATAATGTTAAGACTAATTACATCTTATTACTATTTTTTTTAAATTACAAAAATCTCATATGGAACCGGATACATCTCAAAACGTCCTGATACATCGTGTTTCAATTTTGGATACATGTTTCAACGTCCCGATACATCGTTTCTCGATTTGAGATACATCACTCAACGTCTAGATACATCGCGTACATCCGATACATCGTGATTCTATTTTGGATACATGTCTCAACGTCTTGATACATCGTGTCTCGATTTGAGATACATCACTCAACGTCTAGACATATTGCGTACGTCCTGATACATTGCGTAAAGTTATGTATCCTATCAATACATTGTGTAAGTGATGTATTCGAAAAAAATAAAAAAGAAGAGATTTTTGAAAAATTTAAATAATATTTTTTTAAAAAAAATATGATAAAATAAATTATACATATAAATAATTTTGCCAAAAATTAATGTTATTAAACTCGTAACACAACGTATACTATATTAATTAATATTCAACTAACAATTTTTAGTACATACTCTCTATGTCTAGTAATATTTGTCTACTACTAACTTTGCACACTTTTTAAGAAATTATAAATAGATAAATAATTTTACTATATTACCCTTTAAATATAATAAGTACAATGTCTTGAAAAATGTAATAAAAATGAATGTAATTAATTATAAAAGTAAATTAAAAATTAAGTATAAAATTATTTATTAATTTATAAAATAAATAAATATTATTAAATATCTCAAAATAATATAACAGACAACTATTGAACGGAAAAGTAATAAGAAAGGATGGGACTACATGAGAGATTCATTTAATCTAAACAATGTTGGATTGTCATTTAGTTTTGACCTTTTGTATTGTTCCAAAGGTCATCAAAATTGGAAAATGTGTGGCGGCGCTCTTCTTTTCGCCAGTCAAGATTGCCACGTTTGCCTAAATGAACTTGCGACTTTTATTCAAGGGAAAATAGTCGATCATAATTACTTTCTCCATACTATATAAAGTGAATTTTAAAGATTTTTTATCATTTATAATAATTATTTAATTAAATTGTTCAAAATTTAAGATAGATATTTAGATTTTTTTTTTATGAAGTTTTATATTTTCTACTCTTTGTTCTTATGTACTTGTTAAATATTTTTAAATTTTTGATAAATTAAGAAAGAATAATTTTTTTTCTATTATACCCTCAATTTATTAACATTGAGTTTTAATGTTTTTGAAAAATATAGTTTGTAAATATGTTAATCTATCAATAAATAGGGGCAAAATGGTAAACTCACTATACCAATCATTATTTTCTTAATAGGTAATCAAGTTAAATTTAACAAGTAAAAAGTGATGAAGGGCGTATGAAATATATTACACTATTTATAAAGTTATATTTATACACAAAGAGCAAAAATAAAAATTCTAATTTAAATTATATCCTTAAATAATATTTTTAATAAAGGTGCATTACATCACAAATTCAATTAATAAAAGGAGTAATTCATATTTATCAAACGTTGT